AGAATGATATATTATTTAATTTCTCCATTTCCACATACATTATGAAAATACTTCTATAGAAAAATTTGTAGTCCTTAAAAAGTTGAACATAGGGGTGGTAAACGGTTTACCGGTTAATGGTATAATCGGTAACCGTACCAATTACTGCTGATTACCCGTATACCATTAACCGGTTATAGTAGTTTCGGACGGTAATCAGGGGGCCTATTGCATGTTCCGGTGTATCGGTAACCGCCGTGTTAATCGGATACCAAAAACTAACCGCGCACTACCACCACCTGCCCCATTTTCAACCCCCCCCTCTGATTCTCTTCATTTTTCTTCTTCCTTGACTACCACCCTCTCTGCCTGCCCCATTTTCAACCCTCCCCTCCTCAACTTCTTTTCGTTCTTCTCCTTCCTCGACTCTCACCGTTACACCATTATTCTCACCCTCCCCTTCCCTTTATCGCTAACCAATTCCTCTACTTTCACCTCCGTTCTTGCAAATCCTCCAACCATGTAACCCTTCTTCTCCAACATTCCATGTGTCCTGTCGCAAATATGAAGCGGTGGTTATTGATTTAGATCTCAAAGCGGAGGAGAGAAGGGCGAAGGCGAGAAGAAGCCTGCACTGCTCCAATGGTTACGACCGGCGAGGGAGAGAAGAAGGACAATGGACGGGAAGGTTGTCTTCGTCTACAAGATGACATGCATTGTCTTTCTCCAGTCCTCATCTACTCTACGACGCCATTGCTACATCTCCCTTCACCCATCGCCGCATCCGTCTTCAGAGGCATCTCCGAGCATCATCTTCCTATGATCATCTCAGTCGTCGTCGGCATTGGCTTCCTGGGCACCATCATTATCCCAATTGCTGACATGAGCCATTGAGTCGACATCAGTCGAGCCACCATCGAGATCTGATTGGCCATCGTCATCGTCACCTAATCTCTGTCACCGCCGCCGCCAACAAGAAAGGGAAAGATCAAATGAAGAAGTGGGGTTCGCTTTAGGTGGAGAAATGGAGTTTTGAGAGAAGGAGAAGAAGACGAATCGTTTGATGGCAAGATGTGGGTTCTATTTGGGAAGAAGCGGCGATGTAGACTAACGGAGAGATTTAATAATGATTAGCCGGCTAACCAGGTTTCTAATCGATAATCGATTATTTGGTTAGTCGGTTTCTTTTTGGTATCGGTATTTGGCAGTGTTGTGGAGGAAAACGGTATACCGATAACCAGATAGTCGGTAACCGATTTAATCAGTAAGCGATCATTATCACTCCTAGTTGAGCACAATAAAAAAATTGTGATGATCGGACTCTGTAGCACAAAGTTACGATATTCCAATATTTGGCAAAATACAAAAGGACCGGTTTGGGGTAGCAAACAACATTTTTTTGCAACGAAGGCATACCAGTGTGGATCGCTCTAGTGTCCAGCGAACCATTACCTAATTCGCTTGACACTAGAGCAAATGTTCCCATTTAAGTATTTTGGGAAATTCTCTTTAAAATGAGTTATTGTGGGGATTTTATTTTGTAACTTGGTATTTTCGAATTTTGTCCTTAGTTAACCCACCCTACAAATATGTAATGAATTGATAAACATAAATTGGGCAAGAATTGTTATAATGAGATGTGTAGTTTATAGAGTTTTCTTATTCCACCTAATCGTCGCATGTCTCCGAAGGAACATCACATAATTTAATAAGCAAAAAGTTAATTGTTAACCAAGAAATTTGAAATTAACACATGCCATTATGTAAGGTTCAACATTAATTTGATCATTTGAATTTCGCTTAATGCATCAAACATGTTCCTTGTTTATTTTGATCCATCTTATCCACTACATTGGTTTCTTTCCTTTAAACACATTCTCATTTTGATTTTCATGCATTAGCGTTTTCTTATTCACGGTAGAAAGATAGAGCTATATATTTGGCCTGGATGGACATTGTGCCTATCTCAACCAATTCAAACTCATAAGCTCTCTTCTTCCTCTGATCATTCGTCCAAGATACAATCAGTAACCAGTGGTTACTGACTTGTCAGCAATAAATATGGGCCGCAGATCTAGGAGCCCAGCTCATCGTGCGGTTGGCGGACGCGGGGGAAGGGGAGGGGTATTTTTGTCCATTTTTTAATTTTTGAATTTTTTTTTAATTTATCCAACATTTAATAGTTGTCTTTTCAATGAAAGAGAGAGAAATAGTCTTTTCTCTGCAACTCTTCTTTCTCTTTCTCTCTTCCTTTCTCTCTTCCAATCTTCTTCTCCTGATCAAGATTTGCTCCCTTCTCTTATTTTTTTTTTTAGCAATCGATGAAGAAAAATTCCAGCCTCCCTCTTTCATTGCATTTCTTCTCTTCATCAAATCGTTGGCCTCAATTCGGATTTTTCTCATTTTTTGGCATTTTGGTGTTCTTGATTGCAGAGGAGGAAATAAGAGGAGATAGAAGACGAGTTTTTTTTCTCCCTCCTTCTGTATTTTTTTTCTTTTAGGCAATATATATTGATATACCACACTATACCATATGGTATTGGGTGGTAACGAAATATATATTGGTATTACCACACTATACCATATGGTATTGGGTGGTAACGAAATATATATTGATATTACCACACTATACCATATGGTATTGGGTGGTAACGAAATATATATTGATATTACCACACTATACCATATGATATTGGGTGGTAACGAAATATATATTGATATTACCACACTATACCATATGGTATTGGGTGGTAACGAAATATATATTGATATTATCACACTATACCATATGGTATTGGGTGGTAACGAAATATATATTGATATTACCACACTATACCATATGGTATTGGGTGGTAACGAAATATATATTATTATTACCACACTATACCATATGGTATTGGGTGGTAACGAAATATATATTGATGTGGCAAATTCATACCATATGGTATAGACTGGTAATAACTGGGAAAAAAAATTTGTGTCAAAAAAATATCAAAGTGAATATCATTTTGAAGAGCATAATTAATCTGATCTAACTGTGCAAAAAAAATTAAATTTCGAGTTAGAACGAGTGAGAAATCGTCCGTTAAAGATTAAGGGAAGAAAAATTAAAGGTTTTTCGAGGAGAGAGAAGGAGGTCCTGATGTGGTTGGTCAAAAGTCAGCGTTAGCAATGAATAGGGGATAAGTGCAATTTACCTTACTGCCCTTTAGCATTTAATTTAAATAAAAAAGTAACTGACACGTGGAGAGAGGAGAGGAGAGAGGAGAGGGGATAAGTGCAATTTACCTTACTGCCCTTTAGCATTTAATTTAAATAAAAAAGTAACTGACACGTGGAGAGAGGAGAGGGGGGTTACTTATGGGTTACTCACCCGATCTGCTCCCAGAATCACGTAGTGTAATGGCTATTGCTATTGTGTTGCTGGCTTCTCTCTTTCTCATCAAGCGTACAATTTTACTTTATAATAATTTCTATATATTCGATATATTTTCAGAATTGTAATTCAAGATTTCCATAATTTGTTTGATTTTTTGGCATTTTGTGGAACTGGGCCGGAACATATGGGCTATTAGCCCAAGACTCTAATGCTACTTCCTGTGTTTGACAGCGGTGGCAACGGCGGCGGGAGGCACGCCAGCTCCACCGCCGGTTTTGATTTGCTTGATGGAGAATTTCGTGGTGCAGAACTGCAGGCCTGGCCTTCCAACTGCGACGCCAAATGTAAGAGAGACTGCAAGAAATTCGGACGCAAACCGGAAACCTGTTCTGGAATTAGTGCCACAGGGACCTTCTTTTGTAACTGTTATGGGCCTTGCAACCCAGGCCCGCCTCCCGCAGCTTAACTTCCCACCACGGCCCATTCCCGTTCTTCCATTTTGCTCTTCCCGTTTTCATCTTACCACAGTCCACGGCTGCTTGTTGTTAAAGAAAGCATGATCAAATTTGGAGTCGCATTTAGCACTCTTGATTTCTTTATGATTAAATTGAAGTAATTACAACCTTCGTTTCCATCTCACGGCACTGAATATATACCTCATCCATTTGTATTAGTGAAAATATCATAGCATTTCATGAATATAATATCCAGAACAATTAGATAAATAAAGAACTTATGTATAGTCCAATCTAAATGCAACCATTAAAACCAAACAATTGCACTTTTAAACTAGGTGATCCAGCTGTCTTTTGCTTTACTCCAAAATTAATTTTGTATGTAATTTGAGATATTACGAAAACAGTAATTTCGATGCCGTTGTTCGTGTTTCGGGTTGCTCGTCAGGTCTTGTCGTTCGAGGATCGGATGGGCAAGTCTTTTTGGCCTTGGGATTCCACCATCCAGGATTTTCGAATCCCTATCTTGCAGAACTGCTGGCCGCCAGGGACGTCATCTCTTTAGTTCATTCTCGCAGTATTCCCCATGCCATCATCGAAGGTGATTCAGAAGTAGTTATCCGGCAACATGATGGTAGATGCTGTGAAGACTCGGTTGGCGGGCCCTTACTTCGTGATTGTATTCAGTTATTGAGCTCCTATTCTTCTTGTATTCACTTTAGCTCCGTCTCGAAGACTGTCAACTGGGCTGCCCATAGAGTGGCAAGACAAGCCCTGCTGCTGTCCCCTGTAGAGATAGCGTCCTTCGATTTTGTAGGGTGGCTTCATTAATTGTCTTTTTAGGGTTTTGGGTAGAGGATTTAACTATTGTACTTTGATATTACTTGGAAAAAAATATATATTAGAAAACAGTGTTATTCATCTTTTTAAATATGAAAAAAATGTAGTTGAGATCCAAGCGAGAAACGACATCGTCTTGTGTATTCGGAGTCAGATCTAAGGTGAACCATCCTTGTAATAATACCTACTACACAAGAATACGACCGACCCCACGCAATCCCACAGGCCACAACCACAAACCCCTTTTCTTTTTCCTATTTCAGCTTCAGTTTCAGTCTCTCTAAGCCCCAAAAGCTCACCGATTCCGTTCACTCTCTCTAGAACATTCTCCGCCACTCCCTTGAAAAATGACGGACTCCGACGGAACCGCCACCGCGCCGCCGAAGCAATCGGAAGACAAGATGATGCTGCCGCCGGCACCATCACCGGCCAGAAGCAGTCATCTCAGCATTTGGCCCCCTTCGCAGCGCACCCGCGACGCCGTGATTTCTCGCTTAATCGAGACCCTGTCCACTCCCTCCGTCCTCTCCAAGCGCTACGGCACGATTCCGACCGACGAGGCCGCCGAAGCTGCTCGCCGCATCGAGGAGGAAGCCTTCGCCGCCTCCAGACACTCCACTACCCCCGAGGACGACGGGCTCGAAATCCTCCAGCAGTATTCCAAGGAAATCAGCAAGCGGATGCTGGAAACCGTCAAGGCTCGGGCCGGGTCCGACACTGCCCCGAACAACATTGCTCCGGCGACTCCTCCTCTTGATGTGCCGCACCCCGCTGATTCTGCTGCCGAAGAAGTTCCGGCTTCTGACGAGGCTGCCGCTTGAACTTGTTAGCAACTTTTAACTTCTATGTGGTATGTGTTCTTCTTTGTTCTAGGGGTACTGTAATGCTTATCTTTGACTTCGAGATTGAGATCTATCCGTGCTAAGTTATGCCCCGATTATATGAGAAATGACTTCTTTAAGGGTTAGAAACCCTGTCTAGGGTTTTGGGTTTCTATTCCGCTCAGTATGCTTCAGATGCATTTCCCCAATCAGTTTGCTTTGTTTTTTGATCTTATCTGTGTGGTGTTGATTCTGGGGCTGTGATCATCCATTTGATCGATGGACTGGTATCTGAGCTTTGTGTGAAATCGGTTTTGTTTCCAGTTGAGACATTGTGGTGGATTTAGGGAAAAAGAAAATGTGACCATGGATAACTCAGAGCTATAGAAGATAGTTTTACCCCACCATTTTGGTGGTGTTTCCTTGTGATTAGTGAGAATCACACAAGGAAATGACACTAAGCTCGTAGACATGCACTAGTAAGCTCTCTTTTCGTTAGTTCTTGTTCCTGATAGTGTTTGCTAAGAGCTATCCTTCACCAACGTGATTGCAGAGGGAATGTTAGTTGCTTTTTTCATTACACGGTGAGAGGTGCGATAGAGAGTAGAGGGTAGATCAGCACATATCTGGTTAATCTCTTTCTCTTCGTATTCTGATCTCGAGTGTTTGTTGGCAGCTATTATAGTACAGTTGGATTTCTAGCTGTATCAAACATCCTTATGCTCTAGCTAACTGCTTATAAACAGAGCCATTCATTCTGTTCATTTCTGTTTCCCTTTGTAATTGCACCCCGACATTTAAGATACAGTCCTTCAGATAGTATATTCACAAGAAGCCCCTCTTGGATATGTTTAAACTTGGGCATAGTTGGTGCAAGCTAGAGAAAGGTTGTCTGTTGTAGAATTGTGTGTCAATGAGACCGTTCTCCTCTGCTTACAGTATTCTCGTCTGCCTGCTACATTGGGATACCCCTGAGTTTCCAATGGAAATGATGCTAGAAGAAGTGTCACGGACTTTGTTAGTACGGACGAGAGCTTACCATCTTGAACTCTTTCGTGCTGTTTTACATATTTTGTTATATGAACCTTCTTTCTCTGCAATTTAAAAGGTGGCCATTGTTTGTATAACTAATAAACTCTTTCGAACATTTTAATAAGCATATACACATACTGTCATGTGCGGTATTGCAGGCGTATATACCTTCACCGATCTCAAGTAACTCGCAAGAAAACTTCAAAACGTATTGTTCATCATGAATTCATGATGCACTTATCTATAATTGCTATGGCTGTTGCATCTAAATTCTTTATTTCTGGTGAAGTACCGTCATCAATACAGTTGACATTATTGTACAATCTGACGAAGTTGAAGAGAACTTAGTGTTCATTTGCTTGGTGACGCTCTACCTGAAGTCAGTCTCTCGTTTTCTTATTTTTCTCACTGATCCATTGACAGGTATCTGTGTTGTCGATATTTATGTTCTTCAACTGATAGGGGCAACTGGAGCTTTTCAGAGAATCAGAGTTTTTTCCCGTTGTTTGTTTGGATTTTTGGTACTCTTGTCCGCTATGTTGATTCACTGCACAGCCATGAGCCATCTGTTAGGCTTATGATTTTCCTAGTGCTCCTTTCGCATTACCAGTTGCTTAGCAGTATATCTTTACGTACAATTAGGGCTCGTCGCTACTTTCTGCAGTAACGAAACTAATGGTGTATACTCGGATGGTAATCGTGTCCAGTGAGTCGTAGTGGTTGCCTGTTGGTATTTTGGGTTTCACAGGTTGACGTTAACAACAAATTAAAAGATTTCGCCCGAGTCTCTGTACCATGTGTTAAATTGTGTATGTGGGTGGGGATTACACACCCATTAATAGGAACTAAGACTTACCGGTTTATTTGGTCCGGTAAGATTCAACTGGATCATATATCTAGGGCTGGCTATTTGGTCCGGATTATTTGGTTTTACCCGAAATCGGACCGTATAACCCCGACTGGGACCGGATAGCAAACAGTCCAATCTCATATTCGGTCTTAGATTTGAGGTAAAAAAACCCGGATAAAGACCGGATAAGAGACCCCCAACAACTAAAATCAAGATAAAATTGGGACCGGACAGGGTCATGACCGGATCGGATCAAAACCGGATTGTATCCAATCCAATCTTTGGTCCTTACATTCCCGAAAAGACCGGACTGAGACCTGATCAATTTGGTCCAATTTAACCGGACCAGACCGTATAGCCACCCCTACATAGGGATGGCAATGGGTCGGGTTGGGTCGGGTTTTGTCAAACCCAAACACATGGGTTTATCTTTGAAAAAAACCCGGGGTAAAACCCACTGGGTTTGAAAAACTCAAACCCAACCCAACCCGTTGGGTATCCGCGGGTTCATGGGTACCCACGGGTTTTGTCGTAAAAATTTTACAATTACAAGTTCTTATCAAAATTAAAGTCAAATATCAATCTCTCAATACAAATTATCCATATATAAAACACCATTCTAGAAAATTCAAGCAAATCACAAATTAACTATACAAATTGTTCAACACCAATCTAGAAAACTCAAGAAAATTGAAGCAAATCATAAATTATCCATAAATAACATGTTTAATTGAAAGCTTCTTCCTTTCAATTAAGTTTCTTTACTCTCCACTCCATAACATCAACTTCATTCTACACAATTAAAAAGAAAAAATTAGACATGTCTCCACAAACATAAATAAGATTAGTTGTTTAGAATATTAAATATACCGAAAAAATTAATTATATAGGTGGGCGGGTACCCACGGGCCGGGTTTACCTAAACCCAAACCCAACCCAACCCGGTGAATAGTGAACGGGTTTAAACCCAAACCCGGCCCAAAACCCGTCAACACGGATTTTACCCACGTTGACCGGGTTAGGTCGAGTGGGTACCCGTGGGTTCGGGTTTTGTTGCCATCCCTACCCCTACATATATCAGTGACATCTGATTAATAAAGTTAAAGTAGATTCCATAAAAAAAAATAAGAGTCTCAAACTCAAACTACTTTTTTCGTTAAATCAAGGGTCTCAAACTAGGAAATACTACAATTGAGCGGGTTATTACAACTAATTTGAGCAGTTAACCGCCCAAAGCCATCGACTTAGTTCACCCATTTATAATAGTAAAAATACAATTTCTTTGTTCAAAGGAAATTGGCTAAGCCAACTAGGCTACCTCACTTTCTTGTCATATTTTTGTCAAAGAAAGTGTTGAAGCCTCCTCGATCTACAATCCTCCCTTCCGTATTACTCCTTTCACCTCCGCGGATCCCGCCTGCAAACAAAAAGGTGGGCCTTGTGGCCCGTTAATCATCCAACGCTCAAGTCAGTCTTTTCCTTAGAGAGAGAAGTACTTTTCTCTAAAGTTTAGTGAGAGGAGCCAAATTGAGTAAATGCTTACCAACCTCCCTATTTATAACTGTTCATTGCTCACCCGGGCCGCTTCGTACGGACTTCCACGTCATCACCGCATTTAATGCATCGAAGTCATCCTAGGCGCCTGGTTTAACGTCCACCACTGCCAGATACACATCAGACGCCTAGTGAGCGTTTACTCACGTCACCGCTTCATCAGGAGCCCAGATCAACGCGTTTTCCCTATCCCAATCGATAGGCATCGGACATTACCCAAATGACCTTCTTGCACACGCCTTTGGGCCTCAAGTAATCACGCGGGCCTCGCCTCTTCTTGGGCTTCTTAGATCCCATCCCTCTTACTAGGCTCCACCACATGTCATGGCCTTCTCCAATCTGAACACCCCCAACAATTGCCCGCCAGTTAGGTGCTCAAGCTTTTAACACCTTGAGCGCCTAGCTACCAAGTTTCCCGTTCTATCTTCAACTGCTGATGTTATGGCTCCAGTCCCTTGTCCCCTATACACAAATAGTTAGCAAAGCCGCCCTCAAGCAGTACTAGGCTTTTACTAGGCTTTTTTCAAGATGGGCGCCTCTACATAATTCTGAAATGCACAGGCGATTCTTCCTTGATCTTGATCCCGTAAACCCCTCACCATCCGGGGAGGCGCCCATATCGCACCTTCCCGCCGTCCTATCATCTTCCCATCCCGAAGCGCCTCAGACGCCCTTTACTTTGGGGGTCATGTTTGAGCATTGAACGAAGGCCTCTTATTTCACCATCTCAGGCGCCTTCAACTTCCCTTCGCCCGATTCCTTTTCCAAACCACGGCGCCTACTGTCATTAATATTTTAAAATTTTTCTTCCCCAGGCGCCTTGGCCGCCCACATCCGACTCGCGGCGCCTTTATTTTCCCTACTTCTCTAAGACTCCTTTGTCCCTACTTAATTATTAACACCTTGAGCAATTTCCTCCTCAGAGACACAAGCCTCTTATTTCACCATCTTAGGCGCCTTCTCCTGGTCAAGCTCAAACGGAGGCGGGGGCAAATCCATTTTAGGCTCCGTACGGGCGACGTACGTCTTGTGAACCTTCTCTTCTGGTTTTTTGATGAACTCATTGAGCATGCCCCTGTCCACCAACCCTTGTAACTCGGTTTTCAACTGATAGTAATCAACCGTATGATGCCCCCGCTCTCGATGGAAGTCACAATATCGATCCAAATTTTGCGCGTTGGGTTGCCCCCTCATGGACCCCGGCCACCTCACATGGTACCCCTTATCCTTCACGTACTGCAGCACATTCTTTGGCGAGTCATTGAGCTCAGTGAACGTATTCGCCCTAGGCGCTGGGCTTCCCTGTTCATTTCTTCTCATTTATACGAAAGGCGCCCCCCATAGACTAGTCTAGGATCGGGCGCCTGCCTTCGTGCCACGTCCCCTTCTTCACCCTTTGAGCGGCGCCTATCGGCACTTCTTGCCGCAAGCGTCTCTTCTAACACAATGACCTTCTGTACCCTGTGATCCAAATCCTCCGTGGACACCACGTCTCTCTTGGACAGCGCCCTACAAAGCTCCTCACTTGTGGTGCATTCTTCAAGGAGGACCCCTAGTACTAGTG